GATTAGTGCTAATCGTGGTAAAAGTCGTCGCTATCACTTACCGAGTAAGACTCTCAATCTAGCCTTCGTTTTTACCGAGTAAGATTATTGGTCTTTACCATATTCATTATGGAAAGGTAATATGATTTGATAAGCACTTGCCCGAGTAAGTATTTAGTAAACAACCCCTTCATTTATAAGCCATAGTTCAATTTAAAAAATATATATATATATATATATATATATATAAATTAATTCAATCTTATTGATGGAATATAATTAAAAAATCATTTTCCTCTCTTCACATTTCATTTTACAGAATTATGTAAACTTGAATTTTTCTCTATTTTAGAGACTCGTATATAGAATTTATTGGAGCAATATAAAGAACAAAAAATCTATTGGAAATGCAGTGAAAATCTCATCTTCACTGGATAAGAATCCAAACGCTGCCAAAGCATCTGCAAGTATTTTTTTTGTTTTATCATAACTAGAAATTGCATAAAAAACCAAGTCCAAAGTATGGTCTGCAAAAAACCCAAATCAAGCGAACCTGAATCCCAGTCTGCACCAGGCCTCAAAGCCTGATTACCAGTATTTTGAAAGCACGTCTGACCCGAAAAAAGGACAGGACCGAAAAAGTCTCGAACACTCGACTGGGTCCCATTTCAACCACAAGCCCAACCTACCCAACACGGGTTTAAAACTGTTCGTACCCTTTTTACTCACTGAAAACAAACTCGAAAAGTCTGAATCCAGACCCGAAAAAACCCGAGCCTTACGCATTTCTAATTCTAACCAAGAATAAGTGAAACCATAAATAACGTTTGGTAAGGATTTTGGTCTAACATGGCATCCAGCTATGTACTTTTTTGTTTGGCTATTTACCTAACTACCCCTACCTATTGGCTATAAGAAAAATAAATGAAAGCAAGTTGAGGAGGGCAAAATTTGGACCCATTATGTCATGTATGCCACAAAATCATGAATGCAACCTTCAATTAAACAGCTGTAAACACCCAAATACCACTTAACCACCTTACAATTATCATGCTTTATTCCAAATATGTCCTCCTCATGCTCAAAAAATATTATACTCACAAAAAAAGCATTAAGATATTCTACAGTGACTTAGGATTTTTGCTGAGCGGGTGTATTTTTAAGGTGGATCAGATGTCTGTAAAGTCATTCCATGTGTTTTTAGCAGAATTTCTTTATTTCGAGGGATATTTGAGTTTTTTGGTTGAGTTTGATGTGTTGTTTTGGTTGATGTTCGTTGTATTTTCTAATATCTCGAAGCACCTCTCAGGGTTTAGTAGGTGTACCTTTCATATACAAAATATATACTTACGAAAATGGGTTGAGCGAGTGCATAGAACCCTGTTCAAACCTTCATGGATCTACCCTTGAAAATAGGGAAATTGACAAAAATAGCCGATCTACCCAAATCGATTCATTTTATAGCCATTTTTAGACCCCATTTCACTTTGTAGCCAATCCTTATATAGAAAGCTTACGCATATGCTTAAGAACTGGTTTTCTACAGAAAATCTTCTACAGAAAATCTTCTTTTTGCGTAAGAATCATTTTTTTCTTCCCGAAAACCAATCCTTACGCATAAGGGTCTGTTTGGCTATAAAGTAAAAGTGGGTGAGTCAGAATATGACCATAAGGGTCTGTTTGGTTTGTAGAATTGTAATGGTTTGAAATCATTGTTGTGTTTGTTTTTATTTTATTATTTATAAATAATTTATAGAAAAAAATATAAAAAAATATAAAAATAATTGACTTACATTTTTATTAATCAATTATTACAAAACAAATGTTTTTAACATTTTTAAAAACCTTACTGTATACAATCCTATGTAATCCCGTGAAATCCTGAGCACTCCAAAAAAATTTCAATTAAATCCTAATATTTTAAATTCGGATAATCCAACAAACCAAACATGTGATTGAAAAGGATTTGAAATGCAAATCCCTTAAATCTATTTCATTCGTACAAACCAAACGGGACCTAAGTGAAATCATTTTGTCGGATTTGTTATTTTTTTAAAATTTCCCTAAAACTATTAATGAAAATTGAAAAATGAAAAGAAATATACTTAAAAGTGACAAAATCTGACAACGAATCAAAATGATATTTTATGTAAAATTGAGTGCAAAATTTTGATACGAGTCAAAAACGAGTCGTGTTGATTTGAACCGGCTCGCCAACTCGGTTTTTTCTATTTCTATTTATATAAATAAATAACCAATGTAGCAAATATGTTTTAGAAACGTATTATTAAAATAAGAAAATATATTAGATTATCTATACTTATTATAAAGTATTTGATAAAAAAAATAAAAAACTATTTTTTATGTATGAAATATTGTTTATTTATACATATTACTTAAAATTCAATATTACAAGTAAATAATGTATAATTAAAGTTTCATACTTGAATTCGTGTAACTAACTGCAGATAAAATAATCAAATATAGAATAAACATTCATTTTGAACGTAGAAAATCGGAAATATAATTAAGATAATCATTGAGTTCTAATAGAATATATAATTATTATTTGTATGAAAAAGTGTACTATTAAACCAAAAATAAATTATTTTGTTATCAAATCTAAATTAAATTATAGCAAAAAATTGAATTAAAGAAGTTACTAAAAAAATGAGAACTATTAAATAGTTAATTTGATATTAATATCGATTTTTTTTAAAATTTTTATACTATTTTCAAATCTATATATTTCATTCAAAAATAAAAACATTATCATTTTCTCAAAGTCACATAAAATCGCATTATATCGATAGAGAGAATAAAATTTAAACATTAACATCAAGATTTACCTCGCTGCATTATACGAGTACCCTTATAATAAATATTTAAATACATTTAGGGACTTAACATAGTTTTTAAAATTTATTCATTTAATCCGTTTGAAATAAAATTGTTTACTTTCGTCTTTTTATTTTGTGAACTTCTTTTCAATTTAAATGGTACAACAACCGTGTAGGGCATGAAGATTTTTAATGAGGGTGGTCCTTTTGTTTTAATTATTTATGATAATGATGTTCTTACGTTCTCGTAAAATGAAGGTATTCTCGTTTGAACCTTCACTTATATATATATATATAGAGAGAGAGAGGGGGGGGGGGGGGGAGAATGCAAAAAGAGCAAAATCACATGTGATCGTTGAAACATGCAATGGATTATGGAACAAAATAAGCAACTTCGTAAATTGATTTTCAAATTCCTTAAGACGTAAATCTAAGTGGGTAGCAACTATGGAGTTCATCACTGACTCACTCGCTTCCAAGAACAAGCGGTGGCCCTTTTTCATTTACATATAAGAAACCTTTTTAAAGGGTGAGGGCCAACATTGACTCCGCCCCTGATGCTAAAGACCATAAAAGGACTTAACTCGCTCTGACTCTGTCTCTGATGCTGAAGACCATAAATGACGTAACTCGTTGTGACTCTGTCTCTGATGCTAAAGACCATAAAGGACGTAACTCGTTATGACTCTGCCCCTGATGCTAAAAACCATAAAGTACATAAATCAGTGCTCCATATAATTGGTTTGGATCTCCCACATGTCCTGTCTCCATTCTTTGTTCTCCTTTAATTTTTTTGATAATTATCTGATATTTTTTTATCCAACTAATTTACAGGATTTATATAAAATGTGTTTTCTATATGATTTGAATAAACTTTAATCAAGTTGACTACAAAAACATAATGACTATAAAAATATTTATAGTACATGTAGGGGTCGATACTTCTCTCATACATTTATTACTTTGTGACATATTAGTTATAAATCACTTTATATTTTATATATATAGTGACGGACCTGGTATGTAGCATACGGTGGCACGTGCTACCTTATTATTCCTTCGTCAAAGGGTAATTTTTTTTAGGTTATTGAAAGGTGTAATCGTATTAATTTATTGTATGCCACATGTATTTTGAAACTACAATGAGAGCAAGTTTTATTTCGTAGAGTTGGTTTGCAAGGCTTTTATTCCACCCCAGATTCAAGTTCGAATCATGTTAGTGTCCTTCTCTTAGTCAAATGGTGCCACAATTTGAAAAAGTTCCATATGTTTATTTCTTATAATTAAACGGTGCCACCGTTTGAAAAAAATTATGGGTCGTATATATATATATATAGACAAATAATCGTGTGAGAAGGGAAACTATAATGAGAAGCATAAGAAGAGATATGAACCATTGAACACTTTTAATTTCATGCTCACCCATGAATTGTGTTTTATAAGGTAATAGATCTGGTGCATCTCGGTGCACCTCGTTAGTGTTGACATTCAATTAAAATTGATCAATCCAAGGGTGGAGATATCTTCTTACGCTTCTCATCATAACTTCTCTTCTCACCGGAACTCAATCATCAGGGGAAAACCCTAAACAAATGAAAGCTAAAAAACATCTTATTAGTTGCTAGATTAATCGATCTAACGAATATGGTTAAATGAATTGTTACAACACGTCAAAAATTTATAAGCATCATAATAAACCGTTTTATAGGACTTAATATATAAGACCAAAATATAAAACCTCCTGCTTTTGGACGTCTTAACAAGTTTTTTAGCACACCTTTAATACAAAACGTCACATTAGGAATTTTATAGAAAACATTTTCAAATAGTATCCTACAAAATTGCTAACGGGACTCTTTGTATCAAAAACATCCTAAAAAAACTTGTTAAAATGTCAAAAAACGTTCTATAAACTATGTCTTATAAAACAGTCTATTAGGACACTTAATTTTTTTTGACGTCCTATAAACCCGATTTTATCATAGTACAATATATTGATATATTTTTTCATGGTCTTTTGATTTTTTTCATTTATTTAGCGTTTTTACCTGAAACCGAACCTATATATAAGAATTATATACCACATATTTAAAATTAGATATACTGTCACCATTAAAACAGCCAAGCAACTTACAAAACCAACTATATAAACACCAAAACATCCCTCCAATAATCAATGCGTCCTCTTTCGACACTTCAAAAAAAATGGCATTTTTGCAACAACGTTTTCTTCTTTCATGTTTCCTTATCTTTAGCAGTTCATTGCTGCACCTGGTTTCGTCTCGAGGCCCAGTTTATAAGCCTCCGAACGTCGAGCGATTAACGGATCGTTTCCATCCGGCACCCGTGTCTGCAATGATGTCGACTTTCTATGGATCATCAAACATTCATATGAAGAACAACGGATCGTATGCTGATATTATCCTAGACAAAAACTCAGGTAAAACCGATATATATGATTCCGGCCTGTATATATATATATATATATATCGAGATTTCTTGATTTTAGGACACGCAAGTAACGTAAACTGTGTTTGTAACTCGAACCCGTTTTCGGGATTTGGTTTTAGGTTCTGGATTGGTTTCAAAGGATAGATACCACCATGGATTCTTTAGTGCTGCTGTGAAGCTGCCAATGGGGTATACTTCAGGAGTAGTAATAGCCTTTTATGTGAGTTCTTCTACTCTTTGCAGTTGATTTTAGGTTTATTTAATTCAGTTAGGGTCAGCTAAACTTACAGAGAGAGACTTGGGATCACGTGAGACCATTTTTTTATACTTAAAACTCCACAGCAAAACATGTGAAGGTAACCTTCACAGTGTTTTGCTGGATCTCACGAAAATAACATGCTTTCACGTGAACTTAACCTTATATATATATATGTATTTTGGAACCTTGATTTTTTTATAAAGGGCTTTTTGGAAAGTAGTCTAATAGGGTTTCACGTGTATTATGGTATCTGAGTCAATATCTATAACTGTAGAGGCTCGACACTCTAAGGCTATATGTAAATGGTTGGAATATTTTCTCCCCCACATATATTCTTGCAAATTTGATTGCTAGTGAAATGTCTAATATGCCCTTGTTTTTTTTTTTTTTGAGTATTCTAATGGAGTTCTACTATATTCGTACAAATTTGATTTTTAATGAAATGTCTAAAACACCCTTGCTTTTGGAGAGTAATCTAATGAGGTTTCACGTATATTCTTGCAAAATCGACTATAAGTGAAATGTCTAAAATACGCTTTTTATTTTGTTTGATGATGTTTAGATGTCGAATTCGGATGTGTTTCCACACAACCACGACGAGATCGATTTCGAGTTGCTTGGGCATGAGAAGAGAAAAGAATGGGTTCTTCAAACAAACATTTATGGCAATGGAAGTGTGAAAACTGGAAGAGAAGAAAAGTTTTACCTTTGGTTTGACCCTACACAAGACTTCCATCAATACACCATTCTTTGGAACAACCATCACGTAGTGTAAGTTTCTTAAACATCATCATTCGCCACATCAGCATGGTAACCGGTTAATGCTTCAACCGGTTATCCGGATACTTAAATGTTTAAAACTTTACATATTATATACCAAAAAGTAAGTTTTGAAAGTACGTTGACCAAAATAAGAATCAAGTTAAAGTACGTTACTTTTTCATGCAATTTGCCCTTTTTGAAATTACCATTTGATGAAAAAGAAAATGTTAATTTGGGTATTAAAAGTACTGACTATCTTAGTAATATAATTAATAATTTTGACTTTTAACCATACGAGTGGTGTCTGATTGGTTTGAACTTGGCTTCAAAGGTCAAAAGTACCAGGAGGTCCCAGGTTCAAATCCAATGAGGAATAAAAATTCCCTTGTAGTCACGGAGGTTCAAATGCGGTGACTTCGGGCTATCTGCAAAGCAGGTGGTCGCACTGGGATTAGTCGGCTCGCATAGCGGGTTGGATATCTAGGTTAATAATTTTTCTTTTGGCTTTTGTTTCTTTACTTTAAATAAATTGCGGAAATATTATTAGAGATGCTATGAGGTGATTGCTTATTGAAACTTATTTTTAAATTTTGATAAATTTATAATACAGGTTTTTAGTAGACAATATACCAGTAAGAGAGGTAACACACAACCAAGCCTCGTCATCTGTATATCCATCGAAGCCAATGTCCTTATACACAACTATCTGGGACGCTTCAGAGTGGGCCACACACGGAGGAAAATATCCGGTTAACTACAATTACGCACCGTTTGTTGCATCATTAGGAGAACTGGAAATGGAGGGTTGTTTGATGCCGAGAACAAACTCATCGACCATGGGTTCGTGCTCGATGAGTTCGACTCTTTCGAGTTCGGATCCTATCGAAGGAGATGCGTTTACGAAGTTGACGAGACAACAGACTCTTGGTATGAATTGGGCTCGAACCAAACATATGTTTTACTCGTACTGTAAAGATACATCTAGATATAAAGTTATTCCACCGGAATGTAATGCTTAGTTAGAGCCAAATTGTTTGGCCTTTATGTTTCTTTTCTATATTCGTGTATACAATTCTTATAATGACAATTATACCCTTATTTATTTTATTTAAGAATAAATCAAAACGATTGATATGAGATACAATTCAATAAAGCTTATAGATTTTTATTATAAACCAAACATCTGATTTTCTTAAGCATATAATATTTATATACAACAAATAGAACAAATAAACTCACACACCTATCTCACATTTGGTGAGGTTTGAACTCTTGACCTCTTAGAAGACCAAATACTCACATACCGCGATGCCAAAGACCCCTTGATAATATCTGAAATTTGTTTGAGTAATACGTAACTGGTACAAGTTATGGATAACAATCGACTTTGTCAATGTGATAGATGTTAACAACCAAATACGTGGAAACTTTACAAAAAAAGGAAACAATCGCAATATTTTTGAACAATCAAAATAAAAAGTGTTGAATTTTTCAGAACGAAAAACTCGTAATATTGTTTTGATTTTATTTTATGAAAGCCGAATATGATTCATCAACAATAAAACGCTCATTTCAGTTATAAAGTTCATATAGTTTGAAAAAGCCTGGATCTAATAAGTCCAAAGCCCGGTCGAACCACCTTCTCAAAGGTCCGATTAGAATCCCTTCAAATCAAAATAAAGCCCGATATTCGGTATCAAGTATTCAAGGCCAACCAATCAACCCTTTAAAATGATATTTTTACGGTTAAAACTAACTATCGTAAGGGATTGTTTGTTTACCTTTTAATTGTTTCATTAAAAGACAATCTCTAGATCGCTAATATGTGAATCTTGTTTGGTAAAAAAAAATGTCTTTTAATGATTCTAAAACGGTCTGAATGATTTTGTATCTTGGACCTCCCCTAACCATTTAGCGCTCTAACTTCATTTTGAACAATTACCAAACAATTATATTGCATTTTGCACTACTTCATTAGAGTCTCTTAATGATTATGACCACTTAATTATTCTGTTTTAAACCATTCAGCAACTACCAAACATCCCTAAGTTATATTTTAGATGATTTTGATATGATTGTTTTTTCTTCTGTAATCAAAGTTTATAATATAATATGACAACCACAATATCAGTAGTTATAATATTTATCGATTGAAAACTAAATAAAATATAAAAAAAATATATGTTTGTTATACTAGTTATAAAGAATTGATTGGTTGGTTTTTTCATCAAATCTTGTATGAATAAGTTGTCTAAGAGGATTTTTTTCATAAATGGAAGGAGTGTATTTTTTAATTGGGAAAGGCGAATCTCGGAAAAACTTGGCTTTTCTCATAAAGCTCCATACCACACTAGAAGTTTAACGAATAAGCAGTGACAGATACAGATTTTAGGTGGTGGAGTGCTAAAAATATCCGAAGCTAAATAACCCGTCCAAACCAAACCAGTTTCGGGTTATTCGATTTTAAGTTAAACGTTCATAATTTCAGTAATTTTTTTTTTTATTATTTCCGTTAAATCAAATAACACATTATATTATTATTTTATTTTATATGAATTGGTGTGAACTAATTAGTTGTCAGTGATTTAAAAAAATGGGGACAGTGGCCGACACAGACCCAAAGAGATGGGGCATGGAGGTAAATAAGAAGAAAGCTTGAGGATAAAAGTTCGTTAAGTTTTTACTTTTTAAGTATATAATATTTATATACGGCAAATGCAACAAATAAATTCACATACCTTTCTCACCGTTTGTGAGGTTTGAACCTTGACCTCCTAGGAGAGGCCAAGGACTACGATACTGCTAGACCGAAGGCCATTTGGTGAGTCATTTTAACTTATCGGATGAAAATATTAAGAATTGAGAATCTTACCCGGTAAGAGTAATGAGAAAAACTGAGAGTCTTACCCAGAAACACTTACCAGATAAAAGTGGTGCATACGATGTCGTTTTAATAGATTAAAATCTTACCGGATAAGTTAACCGAAATCATTAAATCTTACTGGTGAAGGCTTACAGGGTAAGAGTTAGGTAAACGGCCCTTAAATCTTTATATTTCTCATTCATATTTTAGTTTCACTATGCCTTCCCTTACCCACGATGAAGTGCATTCGTCACCGCAAATAAGCCACATTTTATGTATTATTAAGTCATCATCAAACAATCATTTATAATTGATTGAATAAATGGTAAGTCCCATTAATCTCATTAAGCTGTTAACAAACAAGCACTAAAATATTATTATATACATGCATAAAACATTTTTGATGATTTTACGATCAAATTAGGGTTGTGGAAAACCATAATGGTCTGAAAGTTGACCCATATGGGAATATGGGTTTGTTGTTATAAATAACTTGGATAACTTTTTAGATCGTGTATTGGAAAACACTTTCCAAATATTGTATTTCATCCATTTAATGCCTTGAGTTATCACAAAATCAGTACCGAGATAATCTAGAAATTTCATACACGAAATACGACACTGACTTAGTATATATATGTGTGTGTGTGAGCATAGTCATATGTTCATTTGAGAAGTAGTAAGTATTTGAGAAGTAGAGAAACGATCATAATCCTTCATCTGATCAAGACCTGTAGCTTTGATTGTGAACCATCATATAATTCCTCGCATGGTATGCGGAAGATAAAATGATAGTTAACCACAAGGGTGGTGCATGATTTGTTTGAGCTTGACTCAAAAGGTCAAAAGTACCAGGAGGTCCCAGGTTCATTGGTGAAAGTCTCTTGATTATGCTTAGCTGCTAGGGTTCGAATCCTTCAAATAACAGTAGTAATGGACTATTTCATTCCCTTGGGCTGAGTTATCCACCTTTTTGGTTTGACCAGTCAAAGTTGTGAATCTTGAATAAAATCCGGCGTAATTTACATAAGAACTATGAGTTCACATACGGATTTGTTTGTCGCCTATTTGTAAAATTCATGAAACTATCCCTTTATTTTTCGTTTGATCAGTCAAAGTCGCAATATTTGACCAGTCGAAAGCCGTAATTCTTGACCAATTTTGATCATATGAAGGGTTATGATCACTTATTTACTTCCCAAACATTTACCACTTCTCAAATGAACTTCTTTTTATATAACAAACCATACAAACCTCATTAAATCAATCATTTTTTTTCCACTTTTTCTTAATTATGAGGGTTGATTAGTCAATAATATATGAAACAGTTTCATCAAAAATATATGAAGATTGATTAATCAAGAATATATTACACAAATTTCTTTAAAATGATAAATACATGAAACAAATTCATTTTCATATAAAATTACGAAACAATTTCATCAAAAAAATAATTATATGAAACAACTTCATCATATTAAACACTTACATTAAACAATTTTATTCAATTTTGTACAGTTTGTTAGATTTAAGTGGTTTGTAAAATAACTTTGGCTTATATACATATATGTATGTATATATATATTTATCAGTTCACTTTTTTATGTATTTATAAGAGAGATCGACGGTTACGAGCGATTAAACAATTATAGCCATTAATCGATAAAATTGAAGAGCAATTATAACTGTATCAGGGTTCGCAAGACCGAACTTTGAATCTAAGTCTGAATACACTAATATGAACTCTGATCCTACTATTCAGAGTTGCAAACTTAGCCATATTTCCTAAAGGTTCATATTTCTGATTATATTGATTTTGACTTAGGACTTAGTCAAATTCTCCAGTACATATCCACATTTCAGATATCCGAGTCCACTATCCATACTTACATTTAGTGAAGTTTTCACTAAGTTCGATTCTTCATAAACTCCAAAAAAGACCTTGAGGCTGTGCTCTTTGACCCCCGTCTTATGGCGATATAAGGTGATAGAGACTATTTCTGTAAGAGTCCACACCGCACTCCTAACTCATCTTAACCGACCTCAAGTAAACCATAATTACAACACGATGATTGATGATACTAAAATTACCAAGAGACCCGAACAGAAAACAAGAGTTTTGTACAAAATCCGAATGTCTTAGAACCCGAAAATAAGGTGATTGTATAAAGATACTTTTATGTTGATTTCTGTTATAAAATATTGATTTCCAAAAGCAAGGGATCTGACAAATTTCAGAAAACCCTAATTGATTGGCATATCATTTGTTCCCTTTCATATTCTTTAATCCCCCAAAACCAGAAAGATATCCATGCGTCTTTCTTAAGCAGAATCTTCATCTCTCTGTTCCTTTTTTCACATTCACACTTTCTTTCTTTCTTTCTTTCGATTTTTGCGTCTCTAAGGTTCAATAGTTTCACCCTAAGATTCACAGAGACGCAAAACACAGAAAGATGACTGAACAAACCGTCGCCGATTTGCCCATGAAAAAGCCCCGAGAAGGCGAGGAGAACGGAGCCATCGCCACCGCCAATGGCGGTGGATGCATATCGTCTGTTATTCCTGGTTGGTTTTCGGAGATTAGCCCAATGTGGCCTGGTGGGTTTCCTTTTATTTTTCTTTGTTTTCTTTTTCCAATTTTAATCCATTTGCTTGTTTGCAGATTGTTTACACAGCTTCTCTGTTCTTGAAGTTTGTATATGTATGTATGTATGTATATATATATATATATATGTATGTAAGTATGTGTGTGTTATATAGAGGGAGGTTCATAAAAAGCCCAAAAAGAGAACACCTTGTTAATCATTCATTTGGACTATGGGCACATGTAAGTGATTATAGTTATGCATGTAATATACATACATACCGGATTTGCTTATAAATTACTTGTATACATACATGTATACCGTCCAGATAAACGATTTCCGCTTGTTCTTCAGTTTTTATTATTTTGCGGTTCTCCTAAACCTGACCCATTTTATATATTGGTTCTATATTTTTGAACTTATTATAAGTTTCATGGGGATTTGGGGTTGTAAAGCTACCATGGTTTTAATTGCTTGTTGAGTGGAGCTTCCATAAGACATAGGTAATAAGGTAAATCTGGTGGGTTCTCACTATCATTCTCCTAGATTGCTTTTCCTTAATCATAGTTTAAATTTGAGTTGATTATATATGACTGTTAATAACTTAAAAAGATACCATTTTTAATGGGTTTATTAATCATGATTCATGAGTCCATCATATCTTTTTCATTTTCTTAAGAGAAAATGTATGTTTCTTGTTATTAACATACAAAATAGACCAAGTGACAACTGGTTATTTTCCAATTGCTTACTCAGAACAAAGGTACAATTCTAAGTTTTCTTAGAACCCTATCAATTACTTTGATTTCTTTTGAATTTTTATCAAGATTGAAATGAAACTTGTGGGATTTTAATTAGTTGATAAATTGGAACTCATGATCGAAAAAAGGTTTTGACTTGTTTTGTTTGACTATTAGGGGCTGTTTGGTTTGTTTTCTATCAAGTTCTGTATGGATAAAGATGTTTGTATGGATTAATCTGTCTATATAGATTGTGAAGATTTTTGTTTGAGAGTTTTTTAATAGATAGAAGGAGCATGTGTTTTAATTGGGAGGCACAGTTATGGAAAAACCTTGACTTTCAGCATAAAGCTCCCCTCTAAAAGCTTACTGAATAACCCAGTTTCTATATTATTAAACCACTACCAAACAGTCATATATGGCTTACTGAATAAGCCGTAAGTGCTATTAAACTCATTAAGCTGCTATCAAACAAGCCCTTAGATTTTGCTACATCCCATTTCATTTTGATGCAAATAATGACATATTTGATATGGTAAGGAGAATCTAAGTATGCTTTTGATTTTATCTAAAAGAAATCCTTTTTCTTCTCAAAAACCTTGGAAATCCTGTGATTACTTGTTCTATTTTGCATTACCTGAAAATTGGTTTATGGGTTTTTGTTGTCATCATGCACCGTTGAGCTTTGATTTAATTAATTTTGTGGCTTTTAGTTCAAATTTCATGATCTATAATGCATACATAAATGGTGTTCGGTTATGATGGTGAGTACTTCCTAATTTTTGGATAAATATTGCACCAAAACCTTGATGTGTTTTGAAACTATCTTTATTGATTGCCTCCGATGTGTTTTGATTCATTGATATTTGCTTAACTTTACACGTCGTGTTTGCATTTTTAATTTAAATGTAAAAACCGAAATTTTGTGCACCAGGTTTGTTATGATTATTGGGACATCATAATATCAGTAATACATATGAACAGAAAACTAAATTGTCAATCAAGTGAGCATGTGCATAAAGTTGTGTAAACTCAATCATTCATGTTGTCTGCTTTTTAAAGCTAAAAAAAGTCAGATATACATTTGACTTTTGCATGTCTAATATATGATTGTTCAAGAATGAAATCTGCATGAATTACTTGGGTTTCTTAAATCTTGAGTTCCATGGTTGGATTACTTTTAATATGTCTACTAATGTCGGGTTTTTGAGTGTTTAAAGTGGTGAAGTGTATGATACTTGATTGGTTTGATGGTTCCATCACGTGTAAGGTTTTAAGAGGAGTTGTTGACTATTATTCCAATGTCTAAAATAGCCCTCGGGTATGACCAAAGTAGAGGAATCTTGTAAATCTTGATCGATACCATCGTTTTCTTGTAATGATGAGTAATTTTAGCTTCTAAGTCGGGATTTTTTATGAGTGTTTGGAGGGAGTGTGCGTTTGGTGTACATGAGACAAAAATGCATTATCTCTGTCCCATCAAAATAGGGAGAACGGATATCAGGGAGAAGAGTCAAGATTGATAAATTACTAAACTACCCATGTCAAGTTTAAACCCTGTCATATTCTTTCACCCGCCTACCCCACTAAACTACCCATTTCAAGTTAAAATGCTAAAAATGCATTTTCTCTGTCCCACCAAAATAGGTAGAACAAAAATAAGGGAGATGGGTCAAGATTGGTAAATTACTAAACTACCTATGTCAAGTTAATACGCTAAAAATGCATTTTGTATTCCCTCCAAAATAGGTAGAACAAAAATCAGGGGATGGGTCAAGATTGGTATATTCCTAAACTATCCATGCCAAGTTAAAACGCTAAAACCCTTTACTATTCTTTCACCCGTCCACGTACCAAAACGCACATATTTTTACTGCTGTTGTGGTATATTCGTCACCCTGTGGCTGATATTAATGGTTGTATGTATTTATTTTTTGTTGACCTTCTCCTTTTCCATATATATGCAGGAGAAGCACACTCTTTGAAGGTTGAAAAGATACTGTTTCAGGGCAAGTCTGATTACCAGGATGTTATGGTTTTTCAGGTATTTGGCTTTTTGATACCGTGTTTTAATTTCTTCAAACACGAAAAGACTGCAGATTAGAAGTCTGATCAACTCACATAATCTTGTGATCTTAAAATTGTATTATATATATAGGCAAATAGAAGTTATGGTGAGAAGCGTAAGAAGAGATTTGAACCCTTGATCACTTTTAAACTCATGCCCACCCATGAATTTTTCCCTTTAGAAGGGAATTGATCCGGTGCATCTTGGTGCACCTCATTAGTGTTGACATTCAATCAAAGATTGATCCAAGGGTGGAGATCTCTTCCTATGCTTCTCACCTTTAACTTTGCTTTTCACCGGAACCCAACCCTACATATATAGAGGGAGGTTCAGGGGAAAGCGTCCAAAAAAATGAAAAACCGAGCAACACCCTGGTAACCATTCATCTATACGATATACACATATGCATACAAGTAATTGAAGTTGTTTCTTGGTTTCTATGCACGGGTGCATGTTATGCACATGTGCATACCGGACAAATTACTTGTATGCACATGTGCATGCCGTACATATGAATGTTTAACAGGGTGTTCCTCCATTTTTCATTTTTTTGCGGTTTTCCTCTGAACCTGACCATATATATTATTTATTTCTTTTTCTTTGTCTGAGTAGTGAATTATGTTAATTCTACTTGTTTCAGTCAGCAACATATGGGAAAGTTCTTGTTTTGGATGGTGTAATTCAACTTACGGAAAGAGATGAATGTGCATATCAAGAAATGATCACTCATCTCCCACTTTGTTCGATCCCCAACCCTAAGAAGGTTTTGCCATCTCCTACAACTATTTGTTAGTATGACGATCATAAAATTTTCCCATTTATAGGTTATTTTCGTTCTTACGTTTCTCTATCCGCAGGTTTTGGTTATCGGAGGAGGAGATGGTGGTGTCTTGCGTGAAGTAGCTCGCCATTCTTCAGTTGAGCATATTGATATATGCGAGATTGATAAGATGGTAGTCGATGTGAGTCATCTTGACCTTCTGAACTTTAGTATTTCAAATGAAAAAAAGTTATGTCAAACACTCCATCTGTGATGATGGGTAAATTGGTCATTTTAGCTTAAAATTTGCGAAAAAGGAAGTATCGCGAAACAGGAACTTTTGCAATTTCAATGTGGAGGGGAGCAATCTTTAGTCTAGAGTCGAACATCACAATTCAGAAAAGGTAAAATGCATCAAAATGCAATGAAGTTTCAAAACGTTTCAACTTCTTACCAATTTTGACCGGTAACTTGCTGATCTTGTAACATGTTTATCGTCCACTTCTCTGTAAATCTATCTTGAACTGGTATACACGTCATCAAATGTTACAAGATTAGCAGGTTACAAGTAAAAATGAGCACAAAATAGAAAATTTTGGAACTTTCTTACATCGTTTGGGAATTAAAATTCTTTGTTACGCTAAATAGGAACTAAACCAAACTTTGTTGCGTTTTAATACATTTTGCCCAATTAGAGTCAGAGCAGGAGATCCAATTGTTTTCTTTCTTTTTTGCAGGTTTCTAAAGAATATTTTCCTGATGTAGCGGTTGGATACGAGGATCCCCGTGTCACACTCCACGTTGGTGACGGTATATACGCACGGCATAATCTTTTCTTTCAGATGTCTTACATTTATGCATCAATTTTATAAAGACTCGATTTTTGTATGATATTCAATCTATTAGGAGTTGCGTTTCTAAAGGCTGCTCCGGAAGGAAGTTATGATGCTGTTATAGTTGATTCTTCGGATCCAATAGGTATACCGCCTGCCCACCCCCCCCCCCCCTTTCAGAACCCGTGTAAAATGTACTTAAAAAAAGTGAATTTGATGAACTTATATGGTAATCTAACTTCAGGTCCTGCACAAGAACTTTTTGAAAAGCCGTTCTTTGAGTCGGTTGCAAAAGCGCTTCGGCCAGGTGGGGTCGTTTGTACTCAGGCTGAGAGCATTTGGCTCCATATGCATATCATCGAAGATATTGTTGTGAATTGTCGCCAGATCTTTAAAGGGTCCGTTAACTATGCTTGGACCACGGTTCCTACATATCCGAGGTAATCTTTTTTTCGTCTTTCTAGTTTCCAATTCCGCTAGAAGATTGCGGGTTCCAATACCCTTCTTTCGAGTCTTTTAATTTAGTTGATAATGATCATGGGCTCCAAGATTGTATAGAGATGAATCAAGATTGTGGGGGGAGGAAAGTCGAAATGAGAACCATAAATATTTTGAGAACCAATACTTAAATTTCGATTTCGTCCCTGTGGGTTGTTAATAATTTTGAATTTTGTCCCTGTGGTTTAGAAATTAAGATTTTCATCCTTATGGTTTGCAATTGATTACTATTTTCGTCCGTGAACTACTACTTTCTACCTTTAAATACAAGGGACCAACACAGTATAGAATTATAAACTACAGGGACCAAAACAAAATAAATTGTAAATCATAATGACGACCATAGCAATAAATTACAAAACATAGGGGTGAAAACCACATGGACGAAAAAATTGCAATTTTTAACAAACCACAGGGACGAATATCGCAATTTTTAACAAACCACAGGGACGAATGTCGCAATTTTTAACAAACCACAGGAAGTAATTTACTCTCATTATAATGAATGTTATCCATTTTCATTATATATAACCTTGATTATCATGAACACTATTCATAATGAATAATATGGATTTTCATTATTCATGATATCATGCATTTTTATCATTACCATTATGTATTTTTCTCATGAATATTATGAATATTCATCATGAATATCTATCACAAAACGCAGTATAAATAAAACATGAATAGTTTGTTCTCATGTTTTCAAAATATTTTGGCTCTCACTTAAACCAGTCTCAGATTGTGGGTCCTATCTTCATTTTTCCCTGCAATTTTACTTCTCAACAAGATTTTTTAAAATGAAAAAAACCCATAAATATTTGGTTTCATGATAGATATAACCCAAATTAATCATGAGTATTATTCATTATGTGTATTTTTCATTATGAATATTATGCATGTTATCATGAATAATTGAATATCATGTATATTCATCATGAATAATTGAATATTGTGTATATTCATCATAAATATCCATCACGAAACTCAATATGAATAAAGCATGGATAGTTGGTTCTCATGTTTTCAAAATATTTGCGGTTCTCGTTTAAACCCGTCTCATATCGTGGGTCCCATCTTCATTTTTCCTTACCAATATTCATAAATGAGAATAAACTATCAAGAAGAATGAGAAGCAAGTTTCATGCTTTTATATGACGATGCACTTGTGAATATTTGAATTCAGTGGGGTTATCGGCTTCATGTTATGTTCAACCGAGGGGCCGGAAGTCGATTTCAAGAACCCAATAAATCCAATAGACGCGATAGAAAACCAGACCAAGTCTATAGGACCGTCCTTGAAGTTCTACAACCAAGAGGTATGTCATCTTCCAATCATATAAAAAACTGCACATATCTTCATATTCTTTCGGTTTCTAAAAGAAAAACTTAAAACCGCGGGATGGTTTCGACCTGCAGATTCATTCAGCTGCTTTCTGCTTGCCTTCTTTTGCCAAGAAAGTGATCGAAGCCAAATCAGTAAACTGAAATATACGAAAATAAGACAGTTAGTGAGAGAAGGCAGAATAGCGCGCGTAAAGTTTCCCGACTTCCAGTTGTTGATTGAAGATGGTTTGAAGACGATCGAACCACAAATCGGAATAATTTGAGGTTTTTGTTTTGATCACTATTATGCTGCTGCTGCTCATATCAGGTGCCAAATTTAGCAAGTTTTTATATCTTTGATAGTACTATAAATTTGGTCACAATAGCAGCTTTGCTTATGTTTATGCACAATTTCTTATGTTTTCCATAGATTTTATGGGAAATTTTAATATTAAATTCGAATCTTTCGGGCTTCAATATCTTTCGAAACCTTCGATCGATCGAATGGATGGTAATTGTCGATGGTCGACACCTACCGGTCCAAGTCGTCGCTAAATTTTAATAAGTTTCACTAAAATTTTAGTTAATAAACATATAGTATAATGAAAACCTTAATTTCACAAGTAGTATGGAATTAATGTATTGGGCCGTTTAAATGCTTACTTGGTCATTTACGTTACCGGATGACCATGGTGAGAGCCGAGAATCTTATCCGGTAAGAGCGATAACATAGGTGAGGAGGGTGTGTGGGTTTATTTGTTGCATTTGCCGTATATAAATATTATATACTTAAAAAAAAAAGAGCGATAACAAAGATGGAAGGTCTTATCTGGTGAGTGTGATAACTCTTACTCGGTAAATGCTTACTAAATAAATTGTTGCATACGAGACCGTATTTATTTACTACAATCCTACTCTCTAAAGTAAGTAAGAGTGTAAGTAACCCTAAGCAGTTTGGATACTGTCAGTCTTTAACCCAACTACTGAAAAACTCACTAAGGGGCCGTTTACTTAAACACTTACCCGGTAAGCGTTTAGCTATAAAGTTTAACACCATCATTTATTTACCAGATAAGATTTTATGCACCAAAACGCATCGTATGCAATAATTTATCCCGATAAATGCTAACCATGGTAAGAGTCGTTGCCCTCACTTACTGGGTAAGACTCCCGCTTTTTGTCTTCGCTCTTACCGGGTAAGATTCTTAATTATTGTCATATTCATCCGGTAAAGTAATGTGACTTGGTAAACGTTTATAAGTGTTTGGTAAACGACATGTGAATCATCTTCAACCATACAATAAAAGTAATCACTACAAACATATTTAATATTATAATAATAATAACATAATGTATTTATTTATTATTGAACTAATTTATTAAAAAGTATTAGTTTTTATAAATAAGAAATATTATTACTC